AGTCTGTTTTGGTATGGGATGAGTTTTTGATAAATGTTCCTACCAAGCGTGGTGACGTAAGTCTGTTTTGGTATTGGAACGGGATTTTGGGAAATGTTTCTACCAARCRTGGTGACGTAAGTCTGTTTTGGTATGAAACTATATTTTGAAACCTTCCTACCAAGCGTGGTGACGTAAGTCTGTTTTGGTATGGAAGTGAGTTTTGAAAGGTAGTTCCCCCAGACGTGGTGACTTATGTCTGTTCTGGCTTGGAACTGGGATTGAGTACTTTCAGACGTGGTGACTTATGTCTRTTHTGATAAGTAGCTCTGTTAAATTGGAGGAATAAGGGTGGCATATCAAGGAGAGGTGTACTTGGAACAAGGGTGGCATTGTCATATGTGGATGTTATTATTATAACTCTTATTATTATAACTAAATTGGATTTAATAACTTTGAATCATCATTTCTTTGTGACCTGATGAATTAAARATATTATTCCTATTTAGAAGTGATAATTTAGATGTTATTGAAAAGGGGAAAATGGTTTGWCATATCAGGCAAGTTTTGCCTTAAATCTTTCCTATTAAAGGAATGGTATTTTAATTCAAAGAGTTTTGATATTGGGAAAGATCACTGTCTAGAGATATTCTAAAGAAGTGATATTATGAATATACTTCTTTATATATGATATTGAAAACTGCATATTTGTTATATGGCGGTATCTTTCTAAAGCCAAAATTACATTATCATATTTTGGTGTTTGGCACCCTGTATTTGCAAACAGGGGATTTACTCACTAGACCCGTATGGTCTAACCCTCATTTTCTGTTTTAAATTATGCAATGCAGGAATAGCTGGGTCCGGGAATATAAAAGGGAAAGGGAAAATGTAATTATTTTCCTAATCTATTGTCTGCTTTTGGAAGATACATGTTATATTACATGTAGTAGTACATGATTTGTTTTGGAAATTTTGTATGTAGATTTTGTACATTTAGCAATCCTTGTACTAGTGAGACCTTTTGATGTAATCCATGTTTCTATGTAATAAAATATGTGTTTTATGCAAATGTGGAGTATGGGGTGTTACAATGTATATTACTTAAAATTCAAGATTACAAGTAAATTGTGCGTAAGTACAACTTATTAAAGCTTATGTTTGAATTCGTGTAACTAACTGCGGATAAACATAATCAAATAGAGGATAAATATCTCATTTTAAAATATAAAAAAATTAAAATATAATTAGAATAATTATTGACTTATA